ACCCCAGTTATCATATTGAAATTCGGTTTGATTTCATTTTCAACAACATCCTTAGCGAACTTATCTGTTTAGGGTTAGAGAAAAACCGAATCAAACCACAGTTATCATATTAAATAGTTTGGTTTTGATTTGTACTTAAAATCGAACCGAAATTATTTGCTTCGGATTGGGAAGATGAAAAACCAAACCGAATTGCACTTGTAATATTTAAAAATACGATTTTGATTTCTATTTCAAAACGAACCAAATCAACCGCAGTTATCAAACTCGGTTTGGATTTCTACTTAAAACCGGACCGAATCACCATTATCATATTTAATAACTCGGGTTTTGATAGCTCCTTAAAACCGAATCGAAATTATGTGCTTCAGTTTGAGAAGAGGAAAAACCGAACCCAACCGAGATTATCTATCCAGTTTGAGAAGAGAAAACAACAAACTGAACCGAACACTTGTCATATTTAAGAACTCGGTTTTGAGTTCTCCTAAAAACCGAACCGAAATTATCTGCTTTGGTTTGATTTAAGGAAAAATCAAACCAAACCGTAACTATTTGCTCTAGTTTGAGAAGGGGAAAAACCAAACTGAACCACAATTATTATATTAAAAAGCCGGTTGATTTTTCCTTAAAACCAAACAGAAAATATTTGAGAAGAGGAAAAACCAAACCGAACTACGGTGATATTAATAACTGGGTTTTGGTTTTTTCCTACAACCGAACTGAATTATCTTCTTCGGTTTGAGAAGAGGAAAATCCAAACCAAACCGAAGTGCACAAATTATGCACAAGTTCTGTTTCGGTGCGTCATCTAGAAATGAAATGCCGAAAACTTGAATAGAAGAAGTAGGTAAACATTCCAAATTGAACCGACTGATCAATAATATCTCAAGCTAAGAATGCAATAAAAAATCCAGGAGAAAATGATCAAAATGGTCCTTAATGTATGGGTTTGATTCCATTTGGTCCTTAATATATGAACTTGATGAAAATGCTCCCTTATGTATCATAAATTGTGACCAATTTGGTTTTTAACCCTAAAATTAATATATATATTTATTTATTTTTGCCGTCAAAATACACGGAATATGTAAAAGATGCGCTCGTTCAAGACTTTCCTTCCCCTATTTCCAAAAATTCCAAAGGACACATCAATTTTTTTTTAACCAAAAGGGCAAAATCGCTCCTGACGGAGCGATTTTCTTCTGACAAAATTGATGCCGTGACTCCTTTAAAAACCATAAAAATCGCTGCCGGTCCAAATTTTTTTTTTCTTTTTTCTTTAAAATCGTTGCTGTGAAAATTTTTTTAACAACGCTGATCCAGCAGCGTTTAAAAGATAGAAATAGCTACTATAGCAGCCATTTTCTTAAAAAAATTCCCGAGGCGAGGATTCCTTAAAAAAATAATGGGAAATCGCTCCACGTGTAGCGATTTTAGTTTAAATTTTTTTTTAAATAATCGCTGCCAAGGCAGCGATTTCAGTAAGAATTATTATTATTATTTTCCAATTGCTACTAGCAATCAAAAAGTATACAATAAAAAATTATAAAGTAATTCAATTGGGAAATTTTTTCTACTCAAATCGTTGCCGTGGCAGCGATTTCCCATTATTTTTTTAAGCAGTCCTCGCCTCGGGAATTTTTAATAAAAAAAAAATTAAATTTTTTAAAGAAAATGGCTACTATAGCAGCTATTTCTATTTTTTAAACGCTGTTGGGGCAGCGTTGTTAAAAAAAAATTCACAGCAGCGATTTAAAAAAAAAAAGAAATTTCAGTTGTATCGGCAGCGATTTTTATGTTTTTTAAAGGAGTAACGGCGAAAATTGCTTCGTCAAGAGTGATTTTGCCCTTTTGGTTAAAAAAAAATTGATGTGCCCTTTAGAAATTTTTGGAAATAGCGGAAGGAAAGTCTTGAACAAGCGCATCTTTTACATATTTCGTGTATTTTGATGGCAAAATAAATAAATATTAATTTTAGGGTTAAGAACCAAATTGATCACAATTTATAACATATAAAGGACTATTTCCATGAAGTTCATATATTAAGAACCAAATGGAATCAAAGCCCATACATTAAGGACCATTTTGATCATTTCCCCAAAATTCCCGTATGGCATCCATGTAAAAGAAGAAAGAAAAACAGAATCAAACCAAACCGAACTAGAAAAACTTGCTGGATCCGTTACGGTTACCGAGAGTAGTTCAAATAACAAAATCAATCCAATGATAAAAACAACACCCCAATCCAAAGTCCAAATCAGCACAAGTAGTCTAAGCATGATAGATGACTAAAAGAGATTTTAGATGCGGTTTCAAAAACCAAAAAATATATTAGAGAAAAAAAAATTACTGTGAAAAGAGGAAGAAGGAATTTATAAATTCAGTTTTGGTTGGCCAAAACCAAAAATCAAAGTAAAAAACTAAAATGAACCTAGAATTTGAATCTTCCATTGCAGGGAATGAAGCTCAAGCTTGATTTGATGCGAAGATTGAACTCCGCTCTCAGAGTGACGGAGAAAGATAGGAATGTGTTTGTCAAGCGTGCTTAATGGCTCAAGCGGTTAGCTTTGGCAGTGCATTTTATGCTTTCGCTTATACTCGCTATTTAACATTACTAGATTGGTTCAGCTCAATGTAACAAGGGAAATGGGAATGGATCGGAAGCCTATTTGGGCTAACCAAATTAGGAGATTTATGGGACGTTGTTCAAAAGTTATTGAAAAATTTGCATAGTGTATCATGCATGCATTTTGGTATACAGATATATGGGCCGTTGTTTAAGGTGTCAATGTTTTAATTTTTAGGCCAATTGTATTTTTAAGTTCCTTTTTTTTCAATTCAAACTTTATGATTTTCATTTTTAGTGTTCTGAAATTTAGTTTTTTCAGCTCAAACTATCTTAATTCTCTGGATCATATAATTGAAATATGACAAATATGAAAGCTTATCATAGACATCCAAAAAAATTGGATTGTGAAATTCGAATTTCAGAATCACATGCATCCTGAAGTTTCAATTGTCTTAAAATTAAGCACTTTCAATTAAGTTAGAATCGAAACATTGTACATGCAGACACTTTTTTCTTGTTTGTGCAAAGAATAAGAATAAACAAAACGAGAACAAGAAAAAAAAGGATAAAAAATAAAAATAAAAGCATCGATAGCTTCGTTCGATGATTAATTGGATTATCAATCAGCTATAATTGTCCAAGTTGGTATTGTTGGGTTATGAAGGGTGATTAGGGCGTCATGCGGAAGCTTACAATTGTAAATAATATGGTTGATAAATTAGACGACACATAAAACTATACTAAAGGATATAATATTATTATTTGATATGACCATTGGTCTACATAATTAAAAACTAATAAAAAACATAAAAACTGTAGAGAGAAAATCTCCCCATAAACAAAACTCTCTAAACAACTACATTGTTGATTCTATTGTGTTTTCTATGAGAATAGAGATCTTCAATTTATAGATCTCCAAACTATTCCTCTAAGGAAAGAATAAACCAAATATGGAAGAAAATTATATTTTCCTTTCAGAAAAAGTTCAAGTATTTATGGTAATACTTGACTTTTCTTTAAGGAAATAAATAAACTTCAATTAAGGAAAGAAAATCAGGGCAAAACCCTAACAGGTATCAAGTGGCTGATGGCTACATTTAATCATTTGGATATGTCCACACTTATCTAATTGAGGACTTGACTATATTTATGGGTCTAAATATTAAATGAATAAACAGTCCAACATTTTCTCAATTTATAATCAGTCAAATAGTACGATCTAGTAGTTGGTGTGATCTCTGATTTCATAACGAAAATTATTGGATCTTTATGTTGAGTCTAAATTAAATAATAAAAATATTTTTTTTGACCAATTTAAATTTCTAAATAAAATAATGACATGTAATTAAATTTCATCGTCATTCATTATCAAAAACGAGTTTTCACTTCATCATTTTTGAAGTGGTCAATTCCTTCGTTTTCACACGGAAAAATGGTGTAAAAATCAAGCTTGGGGGGCTAGCTATCAATTTGTTTGGAACTTTCTGGTCCCATTTTTTCCCATTTTCTTGTTTGACGCGTTGAGGGCGCAAAAAAGTTAGACCATTGGGTTGTTACGTTGTACCACTACGACGAAAGTTAATGGAGTCAAACTTTTATTATTATATATATATCTAATGAATGACCAGGCTCTATATTTTAAGATGAATATAATTAATTTAGAACGATTTTTTTTACCAAACCTGACCACGTTGTAATTATATTGTAAGTATTAAAATACGTTGAAGATTCACAACGTGAAAAAATATAATTAGTGGGATGCATATGAGAAGTCCAATTCAGAACAAAGAAAAGTAGAAGTGGGATCATAGGTAAACTCCCACTAACTTCACAAAAGAGATTCGTTTACCGACAAAATTCGCCCTTATCACTTCAAAAAATAGTACTCTCCCAATATAAGTACTTGCAATAAATAAGCAGTAAAAATATTTAATTCACGAGCGACCACGTGTTTCGTTTATTTTATTTACATTAAACTAACTCAACTAACAATAATTAAGACTTAAGAGCTTCTATTTATAATAATAAAAATATACAATAGTTAACCATATAATTAAGTGATAAAAGTATATATACTAACACATGTACATATCATACATCTATTCTTCTTAGTTAATTTTTATAATAAAAACAATATGATCGTAAAGTAAAGTAAATATAACAACATAAACGAGGATGAATTTAACGTTTGAAATTTCCCAAAAAAAGTCCAAATACAAGAGATAAAAGGTACATAAAGACTCATATTAGTCATAACGATAATGCCAAAACGGGAAGATTAAAATAACATGTGAAAGTAATTAAAATTCCTCAAAAAAGTAGTCATTCAAAGTAAGGACAAGAGAAAAAGACTTTGATAAAGTCACCTAGCACTATTAAGCAGCCAAGATAGGCAATGGGCTAATATTAGTAGTATAAATACTTGCCTCCGAATCACTAAGTTTTAACTTTCTTTTAACATAACAATACACCTTTCTCCCCCTCTCTCTTTCAAATATCAAAACATAAACTTTTTTTGTTAGGTAATAACTCAACATGGGGAGGATGGTTCTTATAGCTGCAGCAATGACTCTTTTTGTGACCCTTCAAGTTTTGCAAGCTCCATTAATGGTTTCTGCCGCTACCAAAGGAAAGACGGTAACTATTTTGAGTATCGATGGAGGTGGTATTAGAGGCGTTATTCCTGGCACCCTTCTTGCCTTCCTTGAATCCAAACTTCAGGTATACCTATGCTACATATTATATACATCATACATTTTATTTCATATGACAATATTTCACTATACATTGATCCGTACAAGAAAAAAGAAAGATGTTCAAATATACTAGGAACTTATTATTTTAAGCATGTTTTGACATTTCTAACTGTCCAATTAAAAAGGAAAATGTGTCTTATAAACTGAAACATAAGAAATACTAGTAGATTACGACTTTCTTCTCATATCCTTATGATGAATTTATTTGTGTAGGAACTTGATGGACCAAATGCAAGACTTGCAGATTACTTCGATGTAGTAGCAGGAACAAGCACAGGTGGATTAGTAACAACTATGCTTACTGCTCCTAACAAGGATAATCGTCCTTTATATCAAGCAAAAGACATTTCCAATTTCTACATGGAACATGGCCCTCAAATTTTTCCTCAAAGCAGGTTAACAACAGTGAATTAATTACTCAAAGAGTTTGTTTTTTCTTTCTAATTTTATGCTTTAATACTGAAGGCAAGTGTTTAATTATGTATGATTCAGGCGTAACAGCTTTGTGAGAAGGGTCACAAATTTGTTTGGAGGACCAAAGTATGATGGCATATACTTGAGAACAATTATTAATTCAATATTAGGCAATATTACAATGAAGCAAACGTTGACTAATACAGTCATACCTACTTTTGATATCAAACGTCTTCAACCAATTATCTTCAGTACTGCTGATGTAAATTTCTATCCTAACAACATTCTTTATCTTCATATATTTTCTTTCTATACTATATAGTTATTCAAATTAATTTGTCTACAGGCAAAAGCAAATATCTCAAAGAATGCTCAATTATCAGACGTTTGCCTTAGTACATCGGCCGCACCCACATATTTCCCAGTGCACAGTTTTGAGACTAAGGATGCTCAAGGGAAACCACGTACGTTTGATCTTGTCGATGGAGGTGTAGCTGCAAATAATCCAGTGAGTAGCCACAAAAGTTAAATTTTTATATCTTATTCTTTTTGAAATATCAATATTGACACATTTTTTCTTGACTCTTATCTTAGACCTTAATGGCAATAACATACGTTTCAAAACAAATCATGACGGGCAACTTTCAATACGAGGGTATGAAGAATATGGACTGCAAGAAAATGTTGGTCCTGTCGTTGGGCACTGGTATAGGCAAGCAGGAAGAGAAGTATAATGCTACAGTGGCTTCCAGATGGGGGATGTTAGGTTGGGTGTACAACAATGGTGCCACTCCTTTGATAGATATCTATGGTGATGCAAGTGCTGATATGGTAGACATACATGTTTCCACCATGTTTCAGACCCTTGGTAGTGAGAAGAACTACATCAGAATTCAGGTAAAAATGACCCAACTTTCTTAGTATTTTCAAAATACATGATGAAAATAAATCAGCTAACGCTTTTCTGGTTTGATTGGTACAGGATGACAATTTGACAGGGGAGGCTGCATCTATGGATATTGCAACAACAAAAAACATGGAGACACTAGTACAAATTGGTAATGATCTATTGAAGAAGCCAATTTCAAGGGTCAACTTAGAAACAGGCCGATATGAACCAGTTGTTGGGGAAGGCACCAACGAAGCTGCTATAGTCCGCTTTGCTCAGTTGCTTTCAGAGGAACGGAAGCTCCGAATAAACTAAGGAAATACTTGTAGATTTTTTCACACAATTTGTTGGACGATTAGAGGATTAATTTGTATTCTTTTACCTTCAATAGTTAAGCGCCTAAATAGTAGACCATGTTGTAATATGAGAATAAATATCCCAAGAGGAAAATAAAATTTATGTAATTGTTCTGTTTTTTTCTCATAAACTCCTATCAACTATCAACTGTTGTTTCATTAAGGTGTCATGTACTCAAATCTGCTCTGGCTCGCACATCACAGGAGCCTAGTGCACGAATGGATTCATGCAAAACAGCACAATTGAATTGCAGCTGCTAGTAAGTCCACGGGAAGATAAAAACGAATCCAGGAAACTGACTTTGTACTAAAAATATTGCACATCAAGAGGTTAAAAATATTGAAGTAAGCTGAGACAAAGGACTTTTGCGGAAGCCACAGATAACCAAGTTTGGGGCATCCATATCATTATATTATAAAATGGAAAGATACTTTATCCTGCATTAAGTTCCCTTTCACTTTCTGTACAAAACACGTTGAGGTATATTCAGTGCTATATATTTTGTATTCAACAGAAGAATGCCCACTAAGCAGAATTAAAAGTCAAGTCAGAAATCGGCTCAAACTTTGATAACCACAGTTAGTTTTTGTACTCTATGAGAAGTTGAGAACAAACCCTTCGTTTTTGTACTCCATGAGAAGCAAATCCTGCAAGAACTCAAAATGTAGAAAGGAAAAAAAAGATCAATGAGATGGAAGTATATACAAGAAATTGATGTACCAAACTACCAAGGTTTCTATTACTCCTACAAGATAAGACATAACAGATTGATCTGACAAGCTAAAATAGAGAGAAAGAAGATGACGTTGGCGCAAAATACCTGATTCTAGCTGTTTTGAGGCCCAAAAGTTAACCTGAACCACTATACTTCTATTGTGAACTGTGCCAAAAGATTCAACTAACAAGTATTAGTAACAGCCAGCATTTGATATCTCAGAGCATCATAAATTTTGGATAATGAAAAAATATGATTGCAGGTTGAAATTTGAAGAAGAGTTCAGCATACCACTGGAAATTTTACTGAAACATTTTAGCATAACCCTTCTTCTCCTGCTCTAGTTTATAAGCAATCTGTCATAATTGTTAACAAATTAGAGAACATGTAGTTTTTGAAACTACAGAACGTGTATTTTTTGAGAAGGAAAATTAGAAAACATGTATTATGTTCACATGCTTGAAATTGCAAAAGGAAGTGAAGATGTTGGATCAAATATTTTGATTTGATAATGACTAACCTTCTTCATTGCAGCAGCCAGCTCCTTCTTTATCCCCCCTGAAAGTAAAATGTAAGAAAAAGTTCCCGGGGCTGATACTCAAGACTAGAGGTGAATAATATTATTTCCTTTATTCGTACAAAATATAACCAGTCAAACAGAGTTTAATGTGAACTTTTTATGAGGGTAGGGAGTTTGGGTTGGTGCGAAGTGTACCACACTTTGGGTACAAATCGGAAATTCCAGTGAAATCTCTATGAGTATCTCTGAGTCTTTTATATAATCAGTTTAGGCAAAACATAATGAACACGCTTTTTCAACTGCTACTTCTCCTTTTATGGATTAAAAGTTCCATTGCCGGATGAAAAGGACTTCTATATGCGAGTTTGGATATCCAAGTTACCAAGCCTGAGATTCACAGCTAAAGACAGCAACCTTGTTTGGCTCCAAGAGAATCATCTAATACAACTTAGAGTATACAGGTAGCCAGGAAATAATGCAGAAAAAGGTAAAAAAGGAACGGCAGCACATGCACTAATCAATGAAGAAAAATATACTCTTTATACTTCAACGTTTGCCAGAGTTTCTTCCCTTAAAATGTCAAAGATGAAATTGTACGTCACTAACCATTGTTTGGCTCTAACTGCAGGGCCTTCTTAAAACTTTCAGCCGCTGCATCTATAGCATTCATTGCCATATATACCTGAATAGAGAAAATGATGGTTCAATGTTTTGGATATGTATAATACCCCGTATAGTGAAGTATGAAGACAATAAGGTATAAATGAATCAGTAATCCTACACCATCAAGTAAATATTTTAGAACCGTGGCGTCCGGCCCGCTAGCGCACACCTTGACTAATTCAATAGGATACCAACTGCCTCCCACCAAGGCAAGTACCGGGTAACTCTATCTATCAAGGCTTGGACAGATGGGAAAAAAATTATCTAGTCTTTTTGCCTCCTTTGGGATTCGAAGAATATAAGAGATATATTGCTATGACCAAATGCTTGTAAGTTATGGAAGATGAAGATCGGAAAGTACATTGTAAGTTATTCTTTACACTCAGACTTCTAAGACCAAGAACACTGAGGAGAATGATGTTACAGGTGCTTTTTATCATAACATTGCGGTTGTGCAGTAGATCATTCTATATGCTATTCACTGTTCACTGCCCTTCAACAAATCAAGACAGGCTTTCTTTTGTTCAGGAAATCTAACCACTTGAACTATATTATAGCTCAACACACCAACCTGGCCTTGGCGGTAAAAAGCTTTGACATTGTCTTCTCCATCATAAATTGCATCATTAGCATCTATCAATGCTCCAGTTAGATCTCCTAACTTCAGTTTACAGGCCTGAACAAGAATGTTAAGATTATTTTGCGGAGCAAAAGAAAAGGAAATGCTACATAGTCCAGAATCAAGAACAAAGTCTAAATATGTATATGTGATCAGTCTGAATATCCACAGTAGTTAGAAAATCAATGAGTAAAAATTCCATAGTACTTAAAATGAACAATGAAGAAGTTCAAAGGCATCACATAAAGAAAAAAAAAAGTTGAAGGCATTCAAAAAATATCTAACTTATGGAAATAATAAAGTGTTCTTCAATGCTAAGTTGCTCGGACTCGGGTGTCTGACACGGGTGCGGATCCGCATGTCGGATCCTTCATGATCTGATTTTTAAGATTCGGGGATATGGATCTAGATACGGTACGGGTGCGGGGACACGGCAAAAAAAAAACTAAAAATCTAAAAATATACATAAATATGAGACATTGTGGAAACTTATAATGTACCGTCGAAGGGACCTGGTTGATTCAATAATACTCTATTTTAAGTCGAAATTATTTCATTTAAATAATACTCTACTTTTGATTTTATTTTTGAAAGAAGACTCCAAGGGACTTGGTCTCACTCATGTTATGGACCATTATCCATGTCCAAATATATAACCAAATTTAGCCCAACATTCAAAACCAAATCTGGTCCAAAACCATGACCGACCCAGCCCACACCCTATTTCTCCAAACCCCACGTTCCCCTCTTCTCCATTCACGTATAGAACGAAGCAGCCAGTGAAACAAAACGATGAATACACCCTAGTTCAGTTCCAAAACGGCGCTGCATCCCTTCTCTCTCACAAATTCATACACCAATGTGTGCTTAGCACGAGAGCTTTGATACCATGCGAAGATTCTAGAAACTCCTCGACGGTATATTACTCTAATTTATCAAGAAAAAACCTTCAAAGGACTAGTATGAATCACTATATAGCAGAAAAATTGAAGGTATTTGTTTCCGATCTATTCAAATCTTTACTTTGAGATATCAAAATTTCAATTTCTTCTCTAAATTGTTGGTCAACACACCCGATCTCGTTTGACCGGATCCGACACAGATCCCACACCCTTACGTGCGGCACCGATTTTTCGGTGTCCGAGTAACTTAGCTTCAATGTATATAGACATTGATGGCGAAAAATGTATAGACTAAAACAAGGTTATTTATTAGTATTTATTTATATGGAAGAAACATTAACAAAGCTGATTTCTTCAGGAAAGTTATTACATCCTCAGGATATGTTCTCACCATAAAGCTCAGGAAAGGCACTAGTTCTTATATTATGTAACTGAAAGTCCTACTAAGGCCTACAATATTCTAACAGAAAGAAAATCATTACGTAAAACCAAATGGTTGCAAGAGAATTTAGGAGAACTTACAGAACTATTTGCAAGTATCTGGGACTTTGTCTTCCTCAAATACTCGCTTTTTACTGTATAATGAGGCAAATAATTCCTTCAGACAGATGTCCTAGTTATGAGAAAGCAAATCAGATAGTCATTTAAAGCTGCAATTAGAAAATTTACCTTCATCAATGTCTTCCTTTTCCCAGCATAAATCGGTATAACGAACAGCCTTCCTGTACTTTCTGATAGCCATCTTATAGTCTTCCTTCTGCCCATGACAAATACGAAGATGATATACAATCACATTTTGAAATAGATAAAATGTGCTACTAAGTCTAAGTCCATGGATGAAAAACAACAGAAAAGTGGAGAAGAAATGGTGTTACATTGTTTGCTCTCACTCTCTTTCATTTTATTTATTTAGTTATTTTTTGCAGTAGATCTTATTTTATGTAAAGAACAAGCTATCAATCCAAGCTTACTTTTGGAAACATATATGTGTGAACTTATACAACAACACAAGGTATACTTGAAACAAACAGGAAATATCCATTAATCTAGTACCTTGAAATGTTCATTGCCAAAGGCTTTGATACAGTCAACAACATTTATCCACCAAGCAAGCTCGTCTGGTTTCACGTCAAGGTCTATTGGCCAATCAGGGTAAGTATCACCATCTTTAAAGAAGTTAGTTGTGCCATCATCTGCTCCCTCTGGAATTTCACCACAGTCCTCTATTATCACAGGAAGATCAGGAAAACCATTTTCACTTGTTTTAATATGTTCAATTACACGAATCATCCCCAAACCCCTAATTACTCGTCCAAATACAACATTCTTTCCATCTAGAACATGTGTTTGAGAAGCGGTGATGAAAAATTGAGACCCATTTGTATTTGGACCAGAATTAGCCATAGAAAGCATCCCTTTTCTTTCATGTTTGAGTTTAAAATTTTCATCTTCAAATGTCAAGCCATAAATTGATTCCCCACCACTGCCGTTTCCAGCAGAAATGTCCCCGCCTTGTAACATAAAGCCTCTGATGACATGATGAAAACAAGAACCCTGCATAAGAAGCAAACAATATTATAATGAATGGAACAAAAAGCTAAAGGGAAAGGTAAAAATGGACAGTCACATTCAGAGAATCAATTTATCTGGGTCACTAAAAAAATAGATTTAGATAGGATAGAGCATGAAGTAACAGAGACAGTTGCTTTAG